CCGGTAAATTCAATTCGGAAATTCAAGAGCGATAAACGAGTAGCTGAACTTCCGGCAAATTCGATTCGGAATTTTAATAGTGATAAACGAGTGGTTGAACTTCCGTTAAATTTGATTCGGAGTAATAAAGGAGTGGTCATGACCAATGTTGATTCCAAATGAGCTTGTTTTCGAGATAATCAGCATTTAATGGATGCTCTTGAAAAATAAGATTCATAAGATAATAGTCATGCATTTGCATACTCTATGCCACTGCATGAATCACGGCTAGTCAATCATTCTACAATATTACGTGGATATTTTCGACAAAAAGACAAAGAAATACATTGATTCGTGGTTAAGGATGCCTTTAAGTATGGTCAAGGATACCCTTAAATACGCCGTCATTTGAAAAAAAGGATACTCTTAAATATGGTCAAGGATACCCTTAAATATACTCAAGGATACCCTTAAATATGGTCAAGGATACCCTTAAATATGGTCAAGGGTACCCTTAAATATGGTCAAGGATACCTTTAAATATGGTCAAGGATACCCTTAAATATGGTCAAGGATACTCTTAAATATGGTCAAGGATACCCTTAAATATGGTCAAGGATACTCTTAAATATGGTCAAGTATACCCTTAAATATGGTCAAGGATACCCTTAAATATGGTCAAGGATATTTCTAAATTTCTAATCTGGTTTCTAATATGAATCAGAACAAGGGTGAAAAGAGATTGGTCTGCCTGTGGTATATATCTTCGTCGCACCACAGGTAGTCCATACTTTGAAATAGTAAAAAAATCAACGCACACTCTAAATATATATTTTTGAACACGCATAAAAGTCACAACTTACGTTTTCTGTTTTCACTTGAATAGCATTGATGCGGGGATACTGTACAGAATATCCATCCCTTTGGCCCAAAGACTTTCTTTTTACCCTTTGCGGTATCTAGGGTAACTTAACTCCGCTCTATTTTCTGTTTCAGCATGTTATAGTGGCAGGAACACGAATTAGTAGTTTTCGAACGTCTTTTTCGATTCTCTGTTTAATAAATAAGAGAAGAAAAGATATAATAAGTGGAATATATTCAATAAGATTCTCACCGAAAAAAAGCAATAATTTTTGGATAATCTTTCAAAATAACTGCGTCAAAGTAATTTTTCTAGTAATGTTAGACTTTTCTGTTTGATTTCAAGTCGAAATACTAAAGTAAATTGTTTACTCGTTCCGACACTCCACCTAGGAAAAGTCCAATCCAAGGAGTGAATCCCGATTGGGATTTTCCACAATTTTGGATTTTGAGACAAAAAGTAACAAATTCTAAAAGAGCAAACGAAACGGAGGTCAATGGTGTAATTTAGTTTGTTTTGGTCGAAAAGGGACTCGATTAAAGAGCATCAAAAGTATGGACCCGCAAGCCACTTCTATACGCTCATACAACACACCCATCTCTCCAGGGTACTAGGTACTACAATTGGCCTTTCTGGGCCCAAACTCTGGGCGCTAGCTTACTATGCAGAATGAAAGGGTATGCTTTCTTCGCAAAACCACTATAATACTAAAATCCAATACGATATCTTTTTTAGTCGCACTGTGACATTAATTGGCTGGAGTATCGATAAAATGATAAGGATTATCCAAACGCGGTTTTCTATATATGGTATATGGATCAATCGTAACATTTTGTTACTTGTTATTTGCGGCGCGGTATCGTCGAATCCCACACGTTATCCAGTTAACCCAAGCTATTGTTCTTTAAGATAACTAAACGGCACGTCTGTAACTAGAGTAATTCCAGACTTACTTTTTCGGCGTGTTTTCAATGGATATSGATATATAGTTAGCGTGATAACTTAATGTATAGTTCCTGCTGATAATAAAATGTAGATATAGATATGAAAGTCATATTCGTCCATTAAAATTCTTTTCTCTCAATTTAGTTTTTAAAATAAACTTACTCATTGGTGTCCTTATAAGTGTTGTGATCGTTGTAAATTAGCTCCTCCGCACTCCTTCACACGCTTCAGAGGGACGCCTACCTTCGATGTAATAAAATATTTGGTGGTGAGTATGCATGAGAACTGACTCGATGAATGCAGAATGTTATAACWACTACTATACTAGACTGAATTAGTCTCTCCCTTGAGTTTTTTACATCCATTCAGAATGTGGAATGAATTGAAAATATGGAAACTATACTGGTTTTAAAGCGAAGGCTTAGATACATACGAATGAGGACTACATCCCGGGCGGAAGTAGGTACACGTAAAATACAGTAAATGTATGTAAATTGGCCWGTGAGGGGGCTGTGAAATGCACTCTACGCCCGTCATATAGTTTTTCCTAAGAACACACCATTCGCTCTCAATTCAAGCCTGTTATTCTTTATCCTTCCAGTTGGTTTTATCACGAAGCAATCGTACACSAAACTGAGGCTAATGAGGGTGGATATCTAACCCCCAAAATCATCTTGGACGAAGCGACGAGAAACAAGTTTAACGACGAAGTTGGAGACATTCTATCTCGATAATAGACATTTATGTCTGAAGTTATTTCGAAAAAAAACCTTAATAATATATCATCATTTTTAAAACTAGGTGTGTAACCACAAAAAGACTAAATTCAGTATGGTCATTTGAAAAAAGGATACCCTTAAATATGGTCAAGGATACCCTTAAATATGCTCAAGGATACCCTTAAATATGGTCGAGGATACCCTTAAATATGGTTAAGGATACCCTTAAATATGGTCAAGGATACCCTTAAATATGGTCAAGGATACTCTTAAATATGCTCAAGGATACCCTTAAATATGGTCGAGGATACCCTTAAATATGGTCAAGGATACCCTTAAATATGGTCAAGGATACCCTTAAATATGGTCAAGGATACCCTTAAATATGGTCAAGGATAC